GTTGTGTTACCTGGAGGTTCACACCCAGGTCATGACAAACTTCATCACCCTCTACACCAATCACAGTTTCATTCTGCTCCATATCTTTGTTGTGATGCATTTCCTCTCCCCTCACAGACCCCACACTCCCAAACTCCAAGGCTGTGACATCCATGTTTGGGGTGTGCTGAGGATCAATAGGAGTTCTGTTCGCTGGCGTCACCACTTGATTCACATCATTCACTTCATTCCCTTCACTGCTCTTTGCATTCTCACGATTGCTCTCCACGTCTTCTTCCAAAGCCTGTGTCATCCCCAGACAGAAAGAAGGCACATCGTTAATGAATTCCTCATACTTCTTTCGCACCTCAGCTGCCTTTTCTGCTTCATCAACTGCTGCCCAAAGGTCTGGACTGCTCCAGAAATCTGAATCCTCCGACATGTCTCTTTCATTATTCTCAACATCTTGTTCAATATTAGCTTTCTTTGCAACATTTATGCCAATTACTTTATGGCACACATTACGCATCTTACGAAACATCAAATTAGTTTCCATCGACTTTGGTGCATGCTGAATCATGTTCAGCAGATCAATAGTTGTGCTTGCCAGGATCTTGCTTTTGTCTGCAATTTTCCTTACAAGCACCTAGATAAAACGTAAAATGACAAAAGCGCATAAATGTTTAAAATTCACCTATCTACATATAACAAATAACCATTTTTCGTGCTCATTAACACATGCAAACTTTACCTCCTCTGAATCTTCAACGACCAAGTTCTCTTGTTCAGTCTCATCTCTATCCCGGGCAGCGTCCTGTTCTCTCTCATTTATATCTCCGTTCAGCTCAATGCGCGCCTCACGACTCATTCGCCCATCGTCATGACGTAAACCAAAACCCCCCTCAATAACTTCACTGTTCTCTCTTTTCCTTAGTTCCTTTCCACTCCAGGCCAACACAGCTGGATATGTCCTAGGAACCGTCCTTGAAAAATCAGACACACGATCTACGTAGAAAACCTGCAAAATGTTTTTTTCATAAGCATGTTAGAATGTAAATAATGCACTATAAACAGTATTATAAATCATACCAGTATAAACAGCAGTGGACCACTGAATAACTGCTTCTTGTTTTTCTCCCACTTCAACTTGTTCTCTATGAGCTTGTCAAGGACATATTGACACCAATCCAGCCTTGGAACTCTTCCAACATCTCTCAAATTGTCCATCACCAATGCATTCACATAACCGTGTGATGTGCTATCCACAAGCACCGACACAATTAGTGTTACAAAATGCCTCACAAACCACTCTCCTCCCTCTGTGCACTCCAACATCTTCTCTACAACATCATTCGGAGTGATCTTAATACCCGTCGTATCAAATTTAAGTCTCCACTCATTCAACAATGACTTGCCCTTGTTGCGCTTGTTATTCTGAACCCGCTCTCCCCCCACCGGCCAGCCCAATACGGTATTAACATCTTTGGCAGTTATGTGCATCTTTGTACTGTCCGGAAGTTTTAAGCAGCTGCTCCTCGCATCATAGTTACTTACAACCCAAAGACCCAATCTTGATGGCAACTCCCAAATATCAAGCCTTAAAACTGATCTAAACCCAATTCTTTCAACCTCAGCACGCTGAACAAAATTCATCCTTTGTATTGCTTTCATCAATACATGCGGTGTGGACCTTGTCTTCAACGACCCATATGGTGCCTTGATATCCACCAACTTCCTCTTTCCAGCCCTCGCTTTTTTTTCCCCACCATCTCTGTTCTCCCGGTCACCTGTAATCGCTCCTTTCCCTTCTCCATAGTCTTAATTGTTCTTCTACTTGACCGCTCAACACTCATGCAATCTGCTCTCGGTGTCTTTCCCTTCACTGATCCACCCCGAACTCTACTATCTTCACCCTGCCCACCAGACGTGTCATCATCATTCTCATTGTCATCCCATTCGTACTCTTCCGATTCCTGATCACCACTGCTCTGTGCACCATCACTCTCTGAACCATCATCATCGCTGCCTTCTTCACCATCAATATCTGCCTCGTCCTCATCTCTTTCTTCTCCATCATCATCATTTGCAACCTCATCATCACTGTTTTCTTCCTCGCCATCCGTTAACTTCTCCGTTGGGGATGCCCTATTTCTCACAACATCCACCCGAGCATTCAGTTGAACTTCTCCCATTTCTTTGTCTTCGTCTTCACTAATGCCCTCACCTTCAATAGACTTCCCAGTTTGTGCTGATTCGTCACCAACGAGATCAATTTGCTCCGGCCCCCCATGCAGCTTGGTTTTCGTTCTGAACATAACGTTCATCAACCTTCCACTCCTCCTTCGTGGAGTGCTATCTTGTGATTTAAGCACCTTCTTCTTACATCTCTTCAGGAACAGCTGTTGGACTCCTGTCAAGGTAAGAAATGCATTATAAAGCATTTGACGAGATCATTGTTCATGCCATATGGAACAAAACTAATGTACTACTGCATTGAATTTAATTTAAATTGCAGATACTTATCCCACATATCAATTAGAATATTCTTTTCAATGACTTTTACTTAATTTGTCTTGTCATTTACCTTGCAATACATTGCTTATTTAAATCAACTACTGCACCAAACCAACAAAGGACATGCATACACATAATAATATGTTAAAAAACTACAAAACAACAAGCACCACATGAAAAAAGGGTTCATCCTGAATGTCTGGTTCAGAACACATTCATTTCTGATCCATTAAGAAACTGTGAATGCTTAACTAAATCCACACCTTGCATCCAATATCAAATTGTGAACACATTCTTTTTCTCGAACTTCACATAGAGTTTTCTACTATAGACAATGCCTATACCTTGCTTATTTTAAACCAACTATTGCATCTAAACAAGAAAATGCTATGCATACCCATTATAATATCTCAAATACACCACATATAATACTCGTACAAACTGCTTAAATAAAAATTGAGACTGCTAATCTCACCCCACACTTTGCATCTAATAAACCAATGGAAGCTGACTCTAATCAATTCAAATTACCCACACTTCACATAAAAAACAAATCAAAATACTCAAAACTTCAACAACACTGCATCAAACACCCTTATAGAATTCTAAAACAAAAAGTTACAAAATCAAATCCCAAATTCATAATACCAGAGAATAATATCTGTTTGAACTTCATGGTAACTTGAATTAATCCATGCAACTATTTATATTATTCTCTTCCATAAATTTCAAAAAAAAACATGTCATGCACAATGCACTACCCTGCTTATTTAGAACCAATGACTGCATATTACAAAAACAAATCCTATTACTTNATCAAAATACTCAAAACTTCAACAACACTGCATCAAACACCCTTATAGAATTCTAAAACAAAAAGTTACAAAATCAAATCCCAAATTCATAATACCAGAGAATAATATCTGTTTGAACTTCATGGTAACTTGAATTAATCCATGCAACTATTTATATTATTCTCTTCCATAAATTTCAAAAAAAAACATGTCATGCACAATGCACTACCCTGCTTATTTAGAACCAATGATTGCATATTACAAAAACAAATCCTATTACTTTGTATTACATATATTGATTGCCCAATTTAAATTTTGTAATGCCTGCCTAACCACATACCATGCATCTAATTAATAGATTGATTCATGCTACTAATCAACTGATATGTCTCACAATTTACTTCGGAAAATCAATACAAAGTGCACCAAACTTCAATTATGGTGCAACAAACTTCAATTTCACAAAAAAAACATGTCATGCACAATGCACAACACTGCTTATTTTGAACCACATACTGCATATTACAAAACCAAATCCAATTACTTTGTATTACAACCAGCAGAGTAACAACCACACATCCCAAATGAATGATGCAATCTAGAACACATATATTGCTTGCCCAATTAAAATTTTGTAATGCTTGCCTAACCACATACCATCACATCTAATTAACAGATTGATTCATGCCACTAATCAACTGATATGTCTCACAACTCACTTCGGAAATTCAATACAAAGTGCACCAAACTTCAATTATGGTGCAACAAAACGCTCAGTATAATCAATTTAAACTAACTATCACAAAAGCCATACAAACATGCATAAATCCCCCCAAAAACTTTCATTACCAAATGAAATTCATGCATTTTAATTCCAAATTTAACACCATAAAAATCAACTTTGGTGCAACATATACCCCAAATAAGATACTACACACACCCGAAACCCTACTCCAACACATGCAATCACTAAATCAATTTACAAACCCCCCCAAATAAACAAATTCACAACAAATTAAGTTTAAAGCATTACCTGTTTCATCTGTCGAGGTCAGCGGGGTGAAATTGGTATCCGCCCCCTCTTTCTCCGTCGCTGCTCTCTTCTCAGTTGCCATACCGACTAGACTCCGAATTGCAGAAGACTACTCCAAGTCCAAGAGCACGTTTAACGGAGGTATGCAATTTGCCTCTGCGCTTTCTACTCAAAAGTAGCACCAAATAAGGGATACGCAGCAGGATTCCTTTTTGGGGAGGGCACGTGTGATCTTTCGAATGGAAAATTTGCCCTTTTGCGCAGCCATCCCGTATTTTTAAGCACGGTAATTCACACTTACCATTTGCAATTTAATAATTACTAAAAAGTAATGGTTCAATCACAGCCATCCATCCCACTTCATCTAATGCTTCTCCATCATTGTTATTTCTTTCACTAGGATCCTTTCTCACCTGATCTCACCCATATATATATATATATATATATATATATATATATATATATATATATATATATATATATATATATATATATATATATATATATATATATATATATATATATATATATATATATATATATATATATATATCGCTGCCGAGATCATAGAAGCCTTCAAGAAAACCTGTCCTTCTCAGAAGGAGGTTCCTTCTAAAAAAACAACAGCAAGCTATGGTGAGGTTTTCAAATGTGTTCTGTATGGCTTGGAAGAATTGAATCTGATTTTGTGGGTTCGCATTTGCAATCTGGATAGAATTGTGTTAAGGTTTATAGGTCAAGCTAATATGGTTTTGCTCTAGCCAAGATTTGCAGGTTTTTTTATTTAAGCTTGGGTTTGAAATTTGGTCATAGTTATCAAGCAATCTCTCTAGATATCTCTTATTCATCCATAGGCAGTTGATCTATTGGTTTCATTAGGCATCACTGAGCATTTTCATTGGGCATCAGTGTGCAGTGGATCTGGACTGACTTCACAAGGCAGGTTCTCTACTCTAAAATGGTTTGCTGTCGCACCTTTGTTTGTTTGCTTTTAGAATTCCTCACATGTGATATGGATTCCGAACAAAGGTAAATAGGACAAGAAAGGTCTGATGAATATTATTATTCACTACTTATTCACTACTGACACGCTTTGTAACTATTGTACTTGTTGTATTGGTACATTATTTTCCAGCTTTAGCATTTTGTATTTGGGCTTTTGTAGGGGTTCACCCAGCCCCCTCCTTTGTACCTGTATATAAAATTTGTTTTGTCAAACTATAAGTATCATATAATTAAATTGACACAAACAAAATATAATTTTAAAATACATATGTATTTTCGAAATACATACATACATACATACATACATACATATATATATACATATATATATATATATATATATATATATATACATACATATCTAATTTTCACAACTATATATTTAATATTACTCCCACTAGTGTAGTATATTACTCCGTTACAAGTGCTAAGTGTGTGACCCTTTAGGTATCCATAACACTGACAATGATATTAATAAAATTAATACCATAGATAATAAGCGGTATCTAGAAACACATTATTATCCCCAGATTATGAAAAAGACGTTCATCTCATCAATACCTTCTACGACACAAGACGTTCTATAACTATTATCCTTTTATCTTAAATGTCATGATTTAACACAAGGCATGGGATGTGTTTCCTTGTATAGTTAAATCAGTTGTTACTAAATCTCAAGTAGACTGAAAGGGATCAAATATTTATGAGTCTCTGGATATGGAAATATCTGGGCATGGCCATGCACTTTCCCAAGTCTTACTATTCAGTGGGCCCATTGACATTATACTTTTATACAGTAGAAGGGACAGATCTTATATCTATTATTCACATCTCTAATTACGCTTAGCAGCATACCCAACGCATAACTGTACGTCTACCAGTATTTCAGATAGCATTAGTTATGAGTCAAAGCATACGGCCCCACATATTAGTGAATGTAATAACTTCAAGTCTGAGGATAGTTATAGCAAGGTCGAATTGAGAATACTGATAAACACATTACTGTAGATCCATGCAGTATTCTCAAGATGGGTCAATCCAGTCACATATTATCGATATAATATGCACCTACGTACAAATTAAGATATCACAATACCTATAGTCTATGAGACGCAACTATCTTATCTCGTACGTACTAGTCTTAATACGTTATGACGTCCGTATTATCATAAAATGCGACTAGGGATATTTTAGACATAGCCTTCGTCAAGAAGTAACAGTCTCATAATCAGAACATCGTAGTCCTCATCTATGTTACTGAAGCGCTATCGTTTATGGACTGAAGCTATGTTATGTTACACGAGATATAAAAAATACTTCAAAGTCTTTCGTTTATGATAAAGTGTACAGTTACATAGGTATTTGATTGCCGCTAGGGTACCTAAATACAACCATCTCCCACTTGCCCTAAGGCCAATCAAACATTTCTCGAATGCCCATGGACCACGTGTGACTCTTGTGTTTAGGCTTTCCCAAAGCCTTCGTCAATGGATCCTCGATTTTGCCGTCTGTACCTATCTTGCAAATCTCAACGTCCCCACGTGCAATGATTTCTCGTATGATGTGATAACGTCTAACGATGTGTTTGGTCTTCTTGTGAGACCGAGGTTCTTTCGCTTGTGCAATTGGCCCATTGTTGTCGCAAAACAACGGTATAGAATTCTTGATTCTAGGAACCACTCCAAGCTCAGTAATAAAATTCTTGAGCCACACACCTTCCTTGGCTGCCTCGGCTACAGCCATGTACTCTGCTTATGTAGTGGAATCAGCGGTAGTATCTTGCTTGTAACTCTTTCAGGTAACAGCTCCGCCATTCAAACAAAACACATATCCTTCATGTGACTTGAAGTCGTCTCTATTAGTCTGGAAGCTGGCATCAGTATATCTGACAATACTGAGCTCTTCTTTTCCGCCATATACCAGGAAGGCATCCTTAGTCCTACGAATGTACTTAAGGATGTTCTTCACAGCCGTCCAATGGCTTTCGCCAGTGTTGGACTTGTATCTACTCGTGACACTCAGAGCAAAGGCGACATCAGGTCTCCTACATACCATCGCATACATGATGGATCCAATGGCCGACACATAAGGAACATTTCTCATGCGTTCTACTTCATCTGGAGTGGAAGCACCCTGAGTCTTGGAAAGACTCGTGCCTTGGAGGCAAACTTTCTCGTTTCGATTCAGACATGCTGAATCTAGCGAGGACCTTGTCTATGTATGTACTTTGACTAAGACCTAATAGCTTCCGTGATCTATCCTTATAGATCCTTATGCCAAGTGCATAACTAGCATCTCCCAAGTCCTTCATAGTGAAACTCTTACTCAACCACGTTTTGACGGTGGTTAAAGTAGGAATATCGTTTCCTATGAGCAGTATGTCATCAACATACAGAGCAAGGAAGACTACAGTAGTACTCCCACTGACCTTCTTGTATACACAAGATTCATCCGAATTTCTTTTAAAACCAAGGCCGATGACAGTTTCGTGAAAGCAGATGTTCCAACTCCATGAGGCTTGCTTCAATCCGTAGATTGATCGCTGCAACTTGCATACCTTGGTAGATTCTTCAGGAGCGCAAAACCCTTCAGGTTTTGTCATAAAGACATCCTCAAAGAGGTTTCCATTAAGGAAAGCCGTTTTGACGTCCATCTGCCAGATTTCATAATCGTGGTATGCTGCGATAGCAAGTAAGATCCGAATGGATTTAATCATGAAAACTAGAGAAAAAGTTTCGTCATAGTCGATACCATGTATTTGACGATATCTTTTTGCTACCAATCGTGCCTTGAAGGTTTGTACCTTACCATCCATGTCAGTCTTCTTTTTGAAGACCCATTTGCACCCAATGGGTTTGATCCCTTCGGGTGCATCAACCAAAGTCCATACTTGGTTGGTGTACATGGAATCCATTTCGGACTGCATGGCTTGACGCCATTCCTTAGCCTCGGGAGAACTGATTGCCACGAGGTAGGTCTCCGGCTCATCCTGGTCGATAAGCATTATGTCACCCTCAAAGGTTAGGATGAATCCATACCTTTCAGGTTTTGTGTGTAACCGGTTAGACCTACGGGGTTCTTGTGTATCTTGAGCATTTTGAGGTACAATGGTTTGTTCCTCTAGCTCATGTTCCTGAACCGGCGCGGTAGTTTCTTTGTCGTCTCGAATTTCTTCGAGCTCTATCTTTCTCCCACTAGTTGCGTTGGAGAGAAATTCCTTCTCGAGGAAGACACCATTGCGAGCAACGAATATCTTCTTATCGATAGGGTGATAGAATGAATACCCTCGAGTTTCCTTGGGGTATCCCACGAAGAAACACTTATCAGACTTGGCGTCAAGCAGTCTTTGATTCCTCCTTTTAAAGACGCCATTCCATTGTGGAGTCCTAGGAGGTGTGAGTTGGGATAAAATCTCATGCTCTCTAAGATAGTCATCGAACTCACCACTTAAGTATTCTCCACCTCGATCGGATCGTAGTGTTTTAATACTTTTGCCAAGTTGTTTTTCAACTTCATTCCTGAATTCTTTGAACATTTCAAAGGATTCTGACTTGTGTTTCATGAGATACACATAGCCATATCTACTGAGGTAATCAGTAAATGTGATGAAGTATGAATAACCACCTCGTGCAGTTGTATTGAAAGGCCCGCACACATCACTATGAATGAGTGCCAGAAGATCACCAGCTCTTTCACCGTGTCCGATGAAAGGAGATTTGGTCATCTTACCCAATAAACAAGATTCGCATGTGTCATATGATTCAAGATCAAATGACTCCAGCCTTCCCGAGCGATGTAACTTGGATATGCATTTCTCGTTTATATGGCCTAACCTACAATGCCATAGGTATGTTTGGTTCAAACCGTTTGGTTTGTTCCTCTTGGCTGATATGTTATAGACATGCATGTCCAAGTCAAGGACATATAACTCATTGGTCATGTTGGCATTAACATAGAAAACATTCATTTTGTAAACGGAAAGGCACTTGTGTTTAATAGAAATGATAAAACCACTCTTATCAAGAAATGAAACAGAAATAATATTTTTGTTAATTGCAGGAATGTACAAACAATCGTTTAATTCCAACATTAGACCACTAGGAAAGACTAAACTATATGTTCCGATTGCCAAAGCTGCAACAGGTGCACCATTGCCGACTCGTAGTTCAATCTCGCCTCGAGCTAACCGTCTACTCTGCTTCAGTCCCTACATGGTAGTACAGATATGAGACCCACATCCAGTATCTGGTACAAATGATGAAGATATAGACATGTTAACTTCTATAACATACACCTCAGAAGAAATGGTCGTACCTTCCTTCTTCTTGGTTGCGAGGTATGTCTTGGAGTTTCTCCTCTAGTGGCCTGCCTTACCACAGTGATGACATATGCCCTTTGCAACTCCTCCTACGAGGTTCTGGGTTGCAGATGAAGTGGACTTCGATTTAGGCTTTTCGACCGTCCTAGACTTAACCTTAATCCCCTTCTTCTGCTTCCCCTTTCCGCCTTGGACCATAAGGACGGAAGCACCCTTGCTCTTAGTAAGGTTCTCCTCTGTAGTCTGGAGCATTTTAAGAAGCTTTGGAAGGGGTTTGTCAAGACCATGCATCATGTAGTTCATGACAAAACCCTTATACAGCCTAGGGAGCGATTGCAGGATGAGGTCCGTTGCCAGCTCCTTCTGCAAAGAGAACCCGAGTTTCTCTAGATTGGTTATGTAACCAATCATTTTGAGAACGTGCGGACCGACCAGGTTCCCTGAAGAGAGCTTGCAACTAAAGAGAGCCTTACTCACAAGAAAACGTTCAGGCCTGGATTGCCCCTGGTATAGCTGCCGCAAGGCACGATCATCTCGTGGGCCTTCATGTCCTCGTGCTGTTTTTGCAGCTTGGTTATCATGGTAGCCAGCATGACACAGCTAACCTGGTTGTCATCCTTAACGTGTTTCTCGTAGGCATCTTTAATCGCTTTCGGGGCGTTAGCGGGAGGGGCATGAGGAATGGGCTTTTCGAGCACATACTCTTTCTCATCCATGCGGAGAACAATGGAGAGATTGCGTTGCCAGTTAACAAAGTTTGTTCCGTTCAATTTATCTTTATCCAGAATGGAACGCAGGGCGAGGTTGTTTGTGTTGTTGTTTTCCATCTACAGAATTCTGCGAAGATAGTTATTATCATGAATTAAGTATCTAATAGGTCTTTAATAAATACTCTCCTACTATTTCTAACAAGTCAATTACCCTCAGGTACGGAACCTATTGACTTGGGGTTTCTTCGTGATAAGATTACCCTAGCGGGCCAAGATCCATATTTTACTTAATTATAGTTGTGCTTTGCATCTTGCCCTACAGTCAAGTTATTTATGTGGGAATTCATTCCAACTGCAATCGTTATTACAACTCTTGGTTTGGTGGATTCTTTTAAATAAAATTCTTAATTGGGCCAGATCCATATTCCATTTAACTATAGTTGTGCTTTGCATCTTGCCCTACAGTTAAATTATTTCTGCTAGGAATAAATTCCAATTGTAACAAGTTACAACTCTGGTTGGATGATTTGATTTTATTTATTGATCCTACCGTAGTGCCCTAAGTCTCTCATCCATATGACGAAGACTTAGTTAAGACTAACCTGGGGCGAGTCAGTACTCTAGTTATAGGTTTCGCGCCTAACCAACGTAAACCGGGCGTCTCACTTGGGTGAGTCCATTACCGATCTAAATTCGAAAAAGGGATTTTATTTCGAATTAAATGCATATATGTTTTATAAATTAGCAAATAATTATTGGATACTCCCAGTAAAATTCATTAATCTGGAAATCCTAAAATTCCAGAATGAATAAAATTTAAAATTTTGAAAACCATTTTTCATAGCTAGAAAACCGAAATTATATTGTCAAAATATATTTCGAAATTCCAAAAATATCAAAATTTATTTTTCAAGTCAAAAATAAGTTCCAGAACCAGAATAGGATTTTTCCAGAATTTCAAATATTAATTTTGCAATTTTAAATAATTAAAAATCGGACTAGTGAATAGTACCGATCCAATTACTTCAAAAATACAAAATAAATACTTTTACGTGCTTAAAAATTATGAAAATTTTTATACAAGATTAAATTCACTGGTCGAAATGTATTTTGAATTAAAATGATTATTTGATTGTCAAAAATAATTTTCCTATTTTCTATTCAATAAACGAATTTAAAAATAGAAAAATAGGAAATTACTTCGAAAAATTGATTTTAAAATTTCCGAGTTATATTGACATGTCAAATACATCCAAGAAAATATAAAATCTAATTTTCATAAATATTAAGTGTTTATGGCACAAATAATAAGTATTCTACACATAAACTACTTAATAAGAATAATATAAAAATACTCCAAACAGTAATTCCAAAAATTACTAAATAAAATTATATTAGGTCCAGTATCTAAATATGGCCACCTAATTAAATTTTATAATGGGATAAATTTTTGTCTCCAAAATTTATTGACTAATCTACAAAAACGATAACGGTAAAAACTACTAAACTAGTAACTTCGTAAGCCAGCACTGATGCCAATGTTGGGAAACGAGGCTTGGATGACGCAGCGGAAGAAAAAAATTAGAGTCCAAAACTCGAATCCACACAAGAACAACTTACGTAAATTACTAGCTATAATAAGAAATTTACCTTAGCGGTGAAAACAGAGAACGAAGAAACGGTCGGGGATGGTTTTGAGGAGATAAACGTAGCGCCAAACATATGAAGCATCCAATGTATCCACACGAACTTGCTCCGGAGTCCTAGATTAAACTTGTTCTAGCAAGTTTAATATAGGATAGTAAAACTATAATAATACTACTTTGGGAGTAATAAATATATAGTAAAAATATTTATCTTAAAAATATTTCTTTATAATATTTTGTGTATATTTCTAACACTTTAGAAAATAACTTTGAATACAAAATAAAATTTTCTTCTCTCTAAATTATGATGGCCGAAACTCATACTCTTAAAATGGGGAGGAATTCATTTTATTTATATAACATAACTTAAAATGAATTTCTAGGAAATAGCTTGGGGACAAAACAAATTAGGATTAGTGTAATGTTTCCAACCAACACAACAAGACAAATATCCTTTTGTTAATCAAATATTTGATTATATCAATCAAATATATCATTAGGTAGAAAATCATATTATGTTTTCAATTTTTTCTTATGAGATTTTCGGCCATCCCAATTTAAAAGTACATTACATTTTATTTTGAAATCAATAATTATCATATAATTAAAATGATGAATATATATATATATATATATATATATATATAAAATTTGTTTTGTCAAACTATAATTATCATATAATTAAAATGACACAAACAAAATATCATTTTAAAATACATATGTATTTTCGAAATACAAATACATATACATATACATATACATACATACATACATACATACATACATATACATATATATATATATATCTATATATATATATATATATATATATATATATATATAATTTTCACAACTATATATTTAATATTACTCCCACTAATGTAGTATACTACACCCTTACAAGTCCTAAGTGTGTGAACCTTTAGGTTTCCATAACACTGGCAATGATATTAATAAAATTAATACCATAGATAATAAGCGGTATCTAGCAACACATTATTATCCCCATATTATGAAAAAGACGTTCATCTCATCAATACCTTCTACGACACAAGGCGATCTATAACTATTATCCTTTTGTCTTAAATGTCATGATTTAAGTCAAGGCATGGGATGTGTTTCCTTGTATAGTTAAATCAGTTGTTACTGAATCTCAAGTAGACTGGCAGGGATCAGATATTTATGAGTCTCTGGATAGGGACATATCTGGGCATGGCCATGCACTTTCCCAAGTCCTACTATTTAGTGGGCCCATTGATATTATACTTAAGGGACAGATCCTATATCTGTTATTCACATCTCTAATTATGCTTAGTGGCATACCCAACGCATAACTGTACGTCTACTAGTATTTCAGATAGCATTAGTTATGAATCAAAGCATACGGCCCCACATATCAGTGAATGTAATAACTTCAAGTCTGAGGATAGTTATAGCAAGGTCGAATTGAGAATACTGATGAACACATTACTGTAGATCCATGCAGTATTCTCAAGGTGGGTCAATCCAGTCACATATTATCGATATAATGTGCACCTACGTACAGATTAAGATATCACAATACCTATAGTCTATGAGACGCAACTATCTTATCTCGTACGTACTGTTAGAACAAAGGCCCAACGCTAGAGGGGGGGTGAATAGCGTTTAAAACAAAATCGCAGAAAATTAAAACGAGAGCGTTAAAGTAAAAAAGCGTAAGGAAGGAACACACCGGATTTTATCCTGGTTCACCACAACGTGTGGCTAATCCAGCCCCCCGAGAGACTCTCTTGAGCTACACTAACTCCGTTAAGCTTAAGGGTGCTTAACAAACCGATACAACTTGAGAACCCGAGTCACACGAGCCTCAACACCTTTGCTCGAAGATACCGCACTCCAAGACTTCTCACGAAGGAACAAGGAACTTCCTTCGAGTTTACAACAAGGGAACAACCTCCCTTAAAGTGTATGAAAACACTTAAACACTTAGGAATAAAACTCTCACAAAGAGTAGATATGAGTGAACTAGTAAACGCTCAAGAACACGACAATTTCTTCAAGAATTGGCTCTCAAATAGCTAAGAAAAATAGGAATGCTTATGCAATGAAAGAGTATTGAAATGTTGAAGAATTGTGTGTTAAAAGAGAGGATTTGGGTTCCATTTTATAGCCCAAAATGGGATAAATCCGTTGCTAGAATTTTCAACAGGATGAAGACAAATTTTTATGGGACACAGGCTGATAGTCGATTGTCAAACCATGATAATCGATTATCCAAAGATTCCCTGTCCAAAAATTTAAAATTCTATCTGTTGGAGGACAACGGTACCCAGATAATCGATTGTCAACAAGTGATAATCGATTATTGGTCCTCTCTGAAGATTCTGGGTTTTGGCTGCAAAGGCTGATAATCGATTATTGCAAAGCTGATAATCGATTATTGCGTGCTTCAGAACTTGGAAGTTCAAAGCTGCAGTGGCTGATAGTCGATTGTCACTAAGGTGATAATCGATTATCACCCAGCTAAAGTCTAGCCAGCTGAAACCCGTTTTGAAAAACCGAGGTCCAAAAACGAAGTGTTCCCAAAAGTAAAAACCAAGTATGAAAAACATTGTATATGGTATAAAATAGTGAAAACAAGACTTGTTTGGTAAAAACCAAGTCCTCAAGGTCGTAAATCACGTGCGTA